TGTTGGCCGTGATGATCTGCCATCCGTGCATGAGCAAGCACGGGATGGCGCGCTCGTCGTTGCTGGGTGGCGAGCCCAAGAAGGTGGGCGGCTGTTGCGGCGCGTGCAGCAGAAGCACCATGGTTGGGACGATGTGATAGACCAAGCCGCCCATAGTGACCGAGCGCAGCTGGTGCTTGTGAGCATCGACGAGGCGTTCCGCCTCATGCAAGGTATCCGCTTCACCGAGCGCCAGCAGCATACGTCGCATGGCCTGTAGATTATCCGGCTCGTGGTCGTCCTTGACGAAGGAAGTCCCGCTGATAGCTTCCTCGAGTTTGCGAGTTTCACCATTTCTGCGCTTTGCGATGAGGACTAGCAGCGATTCCATGTTGTATTCGCGGTTGTTGGTCGCGGTGACGTAGGTGGACAGGCATTCCATGTACTCCTTGACGATGTCCGTCAGGCACGCGCGCGCGCGGCCCTGCGTGATGTTGTCTTCCGCCTTGATTCCGTCGCCCATCCATGCCACGTCTTTGGCCGTGGTGGCTGCTTTCTTGGGCCAGTTGCTGGTCGGCTCCCAGGTGGCTGCATGCTCGACGAGCTGCTGCCCCGAAGAGATACCGCTGATGAGCGCCAAGACGATGGCCTGCCGCATGACACCAGCGCTGACGCCGGCCTCCGCGATGAGTTTGTAGGCAAACGCGTCCGGCATGATGTGCAAGGTCTGCGTGACTGCGCGGAATTTGTCCGCGTCGGTGTATCCGCTGTAGGACAGGCAGATGGAGCGCACGTTCGCACGCGTAGTAGCTTCATCTGTGAGCAGCGCCGTACTGTGCTTATTGCGCCAGGCGACGGCCTGCTGCGGACTGTGCATGTCGACCCAGTTGGTGGCGCGGTCCTGCACCCATTGATTTGCATTTCCGAGCACAGTGCCGGGATCGTATGGCGACGCTTCCGCATTGACCTGCGCCGCGCCCGCAGCGGGAAGTCCCGGCGGCGGGACAGCTGGGCTTTGCGGAACTAATCCGATCGCCGCTGCGATCGCCTGCTGCGCTTACTGCTGCTGCATATGCAACAACTGCTGACTCATCTGCTGCTGCATATTCTGCATTTGATTTTGGATATGCGCTTGGATGTTGGCGCTGCCGGCCGGCGCCGGTGCCGCCGGTTGCGGTGGCGCAGCCGCTTGCGGGTGGTGCTGGTCGAAGGCCGCCGGCTGCGGAGCCGGATTTGGGTCGGCCGGTCCTTCCACCGCTTGGGCGGCTTGATTGTTGCTGCCGTCCGCATAGATGACGAAACTGGAGAGGCCAGCTGTGTAGTCCGCTGGAATGGCGACGCTCTGGACGCGTGCCAGAATGCGTTGCATGATAGCCGGCTTCGTTCCTCCCGTCGGGAGGCCCCATCCTTGGCACACCGCGACGAGGCGTTGGCGCGTGTTGACCGTTGCGAAGTCCATGCTCAGACCCTGGCTGCCGCCTTGGTTGGCGAGAAGCGCGTTTCCGAGAATCGCGACCACCGCGATACGATCCGCCGCCACTGCGTCGATCGCATGACCGTCCTCGTTGACCGCTACAAGCGCGGCTTGTTTGAGGGTGTCTGCCGCATACCACGGCGCGACGATGTTGACCATCTGCGCGTCTCCGAGGATGGCGATCCAGATGCTCAGCTGGTTCTTGACTGCGTCACTGCAGTTTTCCAGCGCTGCGGCGCCCGGTTTGACCGCGTCGGGCAGTTCGTTGGCGTTCCAACGAGTGCTCAGCTGCGCCATTTTGTGTTTGTTTTTCGAGGTTATCGAAAAGCTCTCTTTAACGGAGAGGCTATCTACTCGCTACTTTTTCACACTTTGTCTATCGCGGGTAGTTCTTTTTGTTTCTTTATATTTCTAGGCACAAATAACTTCATTTACAGTCTTTTATCTTTCTTAACCTTACGCCTAAGCGTTCTCGCGGAGAGATTTTCGCTGCTGTGTTTTTTGGAAGGGAGATGCTTTTTGATGACTTGCCATGGCACATTTGGACGCAGTGGCCATTTTGCTGCTACACCCACCTTTTATTTATTCTTGGCTATGCTCTAGGCAGCGCGGCTGCCACCGGGTAATTCATTGATCTCGTTCTCGCTAGCCACGCCGTGGCTTGCGATTTGTGATCCTGTGTAATTTTGGTTGCGTCGCTTTTGGCGAGCCATTGATCTTTTAACGCGCCGCGTTATGTGGGCTCACCAACCCGTTATGTGGGCTCACCAACCTGACCGGCACGCTGGTGCCATGCCTTTCGGCTTTGGTCCATTCTTTTGCTCCCCCTGTGATTTCGGGGCGGCTGCGCCCTGAGGGAACTTTGCTGCCAGCGTGGTCCCAGTCGGGGCCTCAGCGTCACCTGTTGTCCCTACGGGACTTCTGGTGGTGAGACATCGCGCTGGCCCCTGCCGCGGCGTACCCGCAAGGTCTCGCTAATCTCCCAGCGCCAGGCGTTTTCGGCGGAAAGCACCGTGATGGCGCTGAGAAAGAGCTTACTCATCTTCACCTAAACTACACACAAATCTAGTGCCACCAAATCTAGTAGAGGGGATTTTAGTAAGAAGAAGCTCACTTCGGTCATCGCGGCAACCTTTGAAGGGGCGAGGTACACACACACGCACACACGCACACACACACACGCACACACACACGCACAGACACACGCACAGACACACGCACAGACACACACACACAGACACACACACACACAGACACACACACAGACACACACACACACAGACACACACACACAGACACACAGACAGACACACAGACAGACACACAGACAGACACACACACAGACACACAGACAGACACACAGACAGACACACACACAGACACACAGACAGACACACAGACAGACACACAGACAGACACACA